TCGAAACAGTCAGGTAGTAAACTTAACGTCTAGGTTTCAGCCTCGATAGTTAAACTGCGAATAGTTTCCTCCCAAATGTAAGCTTAGTTCTCTACCAGCGTCTTCTTTCGGCTTCATATATTAGTTAATTTGAATTAACGCGGCTTTCATTATCTTTGGACATAAATAATTTCTGTGGTTATATTCCATTCATCTAGTCCTACAGGATTCGAATCATGCCGGTCGAATTTTGAACTGAATTCCCGCATGAATGACAACTTCTTTTTCCAACGGAACTCTGATGTTAAAAAATGTGGCGCTTTGACCCAGTCTATTTAATTTTTAAAGGCGTCAGAGCTTCACGCACAAATTGGCTGAGTTGTGAAAGAGGTGATGTACGGCTTCCGCACAAAGTGTGCAAAAACGAGCAAAAATTCACAATGAATGGGTCCAAGGTCAAGAATGCATACAATGCAGCGTCAAACTCATCCGTTCCGGAGCTCTGAAAAGATGCAGCACATTAGCATTGCCTAACTACCTTTCAAGATACTAAGTTGCCGGGATAAAAACAATATTTATGTTCGCTTTCACGTGATTCAAGCTTTGGAGCCTATTCAAGCCAGCGTTAAATAGCACACGACCAGAAGGAGCAACTCACACGACACAACTTCAAAAATGTAGGGAAATGGGTCAGCGTCAGTTCAATACAACTTTTTACAACTATTTAGCCTTAATGATAGAAATAGAAAAAATCGGGTTGCAGGTAATTCGCTACCTCTGTCGTGAAACAGATTTTGGCGATTGTCAAATTTTTCCATAGAGCATGCTGAAATTTATTTTTTGTTCTTTAGTTTATCAGTTCATCAGCAAAACTGGTTGATTGTACAATATCTCAGACGTAATAAATATTTTTGCTGCATTATTCTAATGCATAAATTGAAACTGATAAAAATGATTACCTGACGTGATCAAACATGCACTTAAGCGTTACTATGGATCATAATTACTATAATTTATATGCTTTCCTTCTTCGTCGTTGCCACAATCCCTGTAACCTTAATAATTCGACATGACCAGCACCATATCCTCCTTCATGATGTATGTTTAGCCAATGGGAAACTGCAGCGATAATTGAATGTCTCCTCAGACGAAACAACAACATTTCTGCTTAATTGTTCTTTTACTTAATCTCATTGTGGCAGAGACGCACTGTCTGGTAAATATTGCGTTGTTTCGAAGGCAATAGGCGTGTATTCGCGGATTATTTGCCACCTGTAGAGATTTTTACCAGCTGAATGAACAGGGATAGCCGTTTCACTACCTATAAATGCACGCTAACTAAAGAGCAAAAACCCTTAGGGAGCTTTGTTTGTCAACCGTTTCAATGGTTCATGACTAGTGTTCGAGTTCCGTGCTATACCGCCAGGCAAACTAACCACCCCCACTCCACCAGTACTTCGCTGTCGAATATTATCTGTTTCCATCGTCTGAGCGAAGAGAGCATAAATTTGAAGTAGCTGAAAAAATAAATCATCCGCTGAATCGCTTAATTGAGTACTGCTACCTCTTAAACTTAACCCATTTTGGCCACTGACAAAAATTAAATGATACTGACACCTCAAGACGAAGAAAGCAACACATTTAATGCCTGTTTAACATTTTGAAATTTAATAGAGCATGAAAACTGGGCATTCAAAGATTGATTAACTAGACTGACAGAGGTAAGTGATGTGGCAAAACCGAACTGATGCCATTTCCTACAAAACGGCAAGCGGCATGAAGAGTTAGTATATACGAGTTGTTACAACGATGTTCTGTGTGATTCGCATTTAGCCGTGTATCTACTCCGTAAATAAGCTAAGAGATCATAAGAGCGAGTATTAAGCTCAGTTAAGACTGATGTTCATGGACTGCGGCATCAGCTGGTTAACGTCAGATTTGAAAAACGCACCTGACAACGAACGGCAGGAAACTAACAACTAACCCGTCGCTACTACCGATTGGATGATTCGGTGAGGTCTTCGGACCGATGCTTCGTGTTGATT